GCCGCTGCCGCTGCCGCCGCCGCGTGAGCCGAGGAGCCGTTGCGGGCCGCGGCCGAGACACCGACTCCGGCCAGGCCGGAGCCCACCACGTTACAGCTGCCCGACGACGAGGAGCGTTTCCAGGGGTGGAAGCCTTTGGCGAAGGACGAGGCGCTGTCCGACAGGGCCGACGGCGACGGGCTGGGGCTGCCGATCTTGTTGCAGGTGGCGGCGAGCATGGCCAGGGGAGTGGAGCCCAAGCGAGGTTCTTCCTGCAGGGAGAGGGGAGAAGGGCCGACCAGGCGGCCGTCAGCCTCGGCCGGGAAACAGCCACCCCGCCCCCGCGCGCCCGGACAGCGCTCCCCCGCCGCCGCCGCCTTCCCGAGCGCACCCAGGGACGTCTGGACGCCTCCGCTCGGCTCCCGCCAGGACGTGGAGCCGTCGCTGGCTCGGCGCTCAAAACGCGCCGGACGGCCTCCTCCCGCCGCAGCGCCCGCTCGCCTGGAGCTCTGCCCGGGTCCGGAGACGCCTGGCGTCTGGAGCCCCGAGCCGGAGGCGCTGGACTGCAGGCAGAGAATCCTCCCCCCCCCTCCCCACCCCGAAATTGCCGGCAGGTTCCTTTCACTCAGCCAACACAGACTCACACTGAGACCGGATCCTACCTAAACTTTTTTTAAAGGCTTCTTTCCCACCCAGCGCCGAAAAAATTAATATTCCTCGCATATCTAGGAATCGAGAGAGAAAGAGAAATGTTCGACATACCTGCAGGGAATGACAGGCTCAGAGAACTGTTACCGGAGGGGAAATCAACAACAACAAGCTCGGTTGCAAATTAAAAAACAAAAATCTCCCCGAGAAAGAGAAGACCGAAAGAAGCGGCTGCGTTCCCCCTTCCAGCGGATCACCGCGAGCCCAGTTCTCCGGGGATCCAGAAATGGCTCTGCCTGAGCTCTGGAGGTTGTCCCTACTAATGCCCTTAAAACCTTTTCCTGCACGCGGACAAAAGTGACTGCCCTCTTCGTCTTCCCCCTCCCCTCCCCCTCTTCCCCCTCTTTCTTCTCTCCCGAACTGACTAGGACTTAAAGAGAGAAAGGCAAAAATAAAAGCCTCAGTAGGGGAGACTGATAGCCCCCGGTCACGAGAGGGGCTACTTTAACCCTTCTCCGATCGCCAATGAAAAAAAGGGGGGACCCAATTAAAACAGCAAGAGGGCGAAAAAGAATCCTCAGACTCACCCCTAGAAGTGAAGTTGCCATCCCACAAAGTGCCCTCCTCTCAGAGGATCTTTTTTATATTGATAAATCAGAGGCAGTGTTTTTTTAGAGGTGTGCAATACAATGATCAGTTCCGCCCATTCCACCACAATTGTAGCTCCCTCTCAGGCTTTGAAGTGCCGCTGAGCCCGCGCCAGCCAATCTGCGCCTCCGTCGACCGCTCAGATGCGTTGCTGCGTGAGGTCATCAACACCGCCAAGCGCCTTCCGCCGCCGCCGCCGCCGCTCCTTCTTGGAGAGAGAGAGTGCAAACAGATCGAGGCTTTGCAAAGACAAGGGAGGGTGGACAAATGCACAGACGCTGCCTCAAGCGTTCCTCTCCTGCCCTCTTCCTACTTCCATTTTTAAGGCTGTGCACCGATCCCTTCCTTCCCCCGGGATGTCAATTCAGTTCATCGCTTGAGAGCCGGTTAATCTCCACGAGGGTCTCCCCCGCCCCCCCCCAGCTCCGGCGTTTAGGAAAATATACAGAAATCTGACGGGGTGTGTGTTTTAGAAGCTGTGAATTTAGTTTCAACGTGGATTGCTGTAGACTCTTCCCACATGCATAATCTCTCTCTCTCTTCCCGGCTAAATACTTTGGGAGGCTCGGAAAACCCCGCTTTGGCAGAGGGAGGAACGTTCTTCTCAATACACCCACCCCCTTCCCTTATGTAAAGGAGTGCTGTTGGGTAAAACGGCAACGGGGAAGGAGGTGCGGTGGAATTAATTAAGTTTTCGATATTTCCTCCAGTTTCATATCCGGATCTTTTCAAAACAGGCGATGCAAATATTCCTGTCGGAATCCCTCACCGCTGTTCCTCTATAAATCCCCTTACCTCCCACCCTTGGGTATGAGTGTTCGTCTTTGGGCTTTGGGGGTAGGGTTTCTTTTTCTTTTTTTCCCCTTTCCCCCTTTTTATTACAAAGTGGGAGAGGCGCGGCTGACGAGCAGGAGAGCTCCAGGTTTAGCAGGCACCTTCCTCTGTCGCCTCCACCCCCCCCCCCCTTCTTGTTTCTACTTTTAAAGAGTAATCCTGGCGTCTGTCGCCGGGTAAGAAAGAGGTCTTTTCCCACAAGACCTTGGGACCCTGTTCATATGAACTCTGCGTTATCCCAAATATTGATCTCAGCCTCAGAAAGCAGAGCTGCATTTTGTTTTGACTGGACTCGAGTTTGTTTGGAGCACATCAGAGCCACAGAAATAACACTTGGTGGCCTAGCTACTAACGTCGGTGTAAATCCTAGGTAGCACATTCGGCGTGGGCATTATCTTTTTAGATCTTTTCCCCCCTTTCAAAATGCCGTGAAGTTATTGACTGCACATCATATCTATTGATTAAAGGGGGGTAACGTGCATTATCATACTTTTAAGTAAGGAGTGAAGTAAATTAATGAACTGCTTTCTTTCTCTGAAGGCTGATGGTTACCATAAATGTCGTGTTTCTCTCTGCGAGCTGCTCTGAATGATTTTAGCCTGTTGAGAAGGCGTGACAGGCCAGCCCAGAAGGAGGAAGGGGTGGGGGAAGGAGGGAACTCCGTTTAACAAATAAAAAAGAATTAACTTCATTGCTTTGGTCTCCTTCTATAATGATATTCATTTTAAAGACCTAATGCACACTTGTTTAAATTTCGGATTTAAACTGAATCAATACTTTCTCTGACAGAAAAAAAGGGGTGGGTGCGTGTGAAAGAGGGCGCGTTTTAGGGAATAGCCCCTCACGTCTGAATGAATAGCGATTAGCTTTATCTGTTGTCTTTATCCTCCTGCACCAGAAGTGCAACTGTGTGGGGGTTTTTTAAGTAGAGATCCATACTGGGATCCAGGCACAAATAAGAACTGAAACAAAACAAGTACGTGCTGCAGTCCACTTGGCAACAGAATTATATTTTTATTGATATGCTGTCTCTGATACTTTTGCAGGGGAAAATTTGTGCCAGATTTTTTTTTTTAATTTACAGAGAAAAAAGTCGGGGAATTTTTAAAAAAGAACTACTTTTCTTCTTTGTCAGTTTTCATAATTTCTGCACATATTATATGAATTTTATTAACTTGGTTTTTAAATTTACAAAGAATTTTTTTTTAAGAACAAAACTCTTTTTCTTCTTTGTCAGTTTTCATCATTTCTGCACATATTATTATATGAATTTTATTAACTTGGTTTTTTTACACACACACACAGATATAGATGTATTGGCTAGCTTTAAAGGAAACGTTCTTTCTTTCAGATTGCAACAACATGAAGCGGCAAAGCCCAAAGATGCACTTATTTACAAGAATTTATCAAAGGTTTCTGCGTGCGGTAAACACTGGCTCGAAAAGACATACGCACGCGCACACCCCCATATATCCCTATGCACGTATATGCATTTCACTTTAGGCGACCCGGTTCTTGTCGCTGTCACTGGAAAGTGAGCGAAGGAGAGGGCAGTCCGGAGCTTGCGGGAACTGGGGCTTATTTATTCGTCAGCTCAGGCAGGCCCCTCTGCCCTTTTCGCCTCGGGTGTCAATAGCTCGGCGTTTTACACTCCAGCCACCTTATTGACGGCTGCTTCTCAGAGTGGTTTTCCATCAAGAAAGCATCCAGGTGTAAGTCAGGAAGAGGTGGGAAACTAGGAAGGACACCCCTCCCCGGAAATTAATTGAACCCCCCCCCTATGCGGAGTTAAATAGATGTCCCTGCGATCTAGATAGATGTCCCTGCGATTTCTTCTGAACCTGTAGCATCCACTCTCGATAAAAGTGACGATCTATTAGCATTCTGTATGCATCTGCAGCATAAATTTCATTTGAATTTCAAATTTAATAAACCAGGAGGTTTTTAATCATCCCTGGTTTTATTTGTTTGATATTAACATGCTTATTGACCGGGTCTGTTGACCAGTTTGATCATTACAGGACAGCAAAAAGTTAATTAAAACGACCACAGCTCCTTAATCATATCATCTGTCTCATCCATGTCGCTCCCTTTATTACAGTCTATGATGGATAGTCTCCCAGATTAATTTCTCTGTTTCTTCGATTTGGACAACAGCTTTGGGGACCTAATTTACATCCTGGGAACAACTTGCACAAGTCTACTGGCTGCAGCCCGGTGGTGGCTCGGGGGGCCGTTAGCGACTTGAGCGGCGCGGCTTGTAACCCGCTTGGCACAACAATGGCCCTGAGCAGGAAAGAAAGAGATGCCGCCGAAGGGGGCCTTGGAGGCAGCATCCTCCTGCGCTGGGGCAAGCGGGGAGGGGGTGGCGAGAGCCCGCTCCTTGGACTGACAGAGCCCAGCCTGCTCCAAGAGTATCCCCACCCCCACCCCGTGCAAAATAACCCTGAAGTGCTTAAGAATGTTTCAAGGGCGAGACTTTCGCTGTGCACTCCGGGGGGGGGGGGGGGGTCGATTGGAAATCAAACAGCCTAAAATGCAACCACTTACCTGGGAGTAAGCCTGACTGAACTCAATGGGATTTACACCTTTTCGAAAGTGGCCTGCGGGCAACTGCCCGCCGGGAAGGGCTGGGCGAGGACAGCAAGAGGCGCTCGGTGGGGCAGCAGGGTCAGAGCGCTCGAGATCCCTTAGAGACACACCACAGCGGCGCTCGCCCAGCGGACCGAGGCGCTGCTCGCTCTCGGGCCGGCAAGTGGTTCTTTTAAGGAGTCCCTAGGAGTCACAGGCGCGGTTTTGTGGGGGTGGGGAGGGAGGAGGACAGATTGGAACATCTTGAGTTTCTGATCCAAATGGTGCCCTGATCCCGGCTGCAGGGGAACTCTGGAGTCATTCAACAACAACAACAGCAGCAGCAGCATCCTACTTGTGGACTCAGCCGCCCCCTCCCCCCCAGAAGCCATTATCTTTCACCTGGAAATAGCCTAATGAGCGAGGAAGATCAAAGGTGTCAACAAACACTCCGAGCAACCGAGCGAAGCAAAGGCCAGTTTGTTAGCAGGAGGGAGGGGGTGAAGGGGACAGAAACCCTCCCCCGAATATTTAACACCCTTAATCAACGGTGTTTCCAGCGAGAGTTAGGCAGAAGCATTAGTCTCTCTCACGGAACCAAACCCACAAGCGCGCAACTTGGGCTGGGTCGCGAGGCTGTGGCTGAATCGCCTTCTCCCACCTTCCTTTTGCTATGTTGTCTCCACTAAACAAATGGCCTGGGCTAACTGTAGCCGAGCTCTTGGGGTAGTATGTGCTTCCACGACCCTGATATGTTCATGCATAACAGTACTTTAAAAAAAAAAGAAAGAAAGATGTGTCTTCCTGCTTCAGTTTGTTTACCTGCACACGCCGCTGCTCTCACCTCCCTCGCTCCCTATCCCTCCCTCCCACCCACCCACCCGTCCAAGTTCTGTAGAGGTTCCAGTCCCGCGCCTTTTCCAGTTTCCAGATCTCCGGTGGCATGAAAAGCCCCCTTTGCCTGGCTGATTTCAGCGAGATTTGCTGTTCGACCTCTTGGAGAAACACAAGAGAGGAATGTGGGTGGGCGTGGCTGGGGACAAGAGGGTCACTCGCGGGGGAGGTGATGGTCTTTTAAAAGCCCGACGTACCTTGTGTGTGTGTGTGGGGGGGGGTTTCCTCTTTCTCTTTGTTTTGCGTCGGGCGCCTGTGAAATAAATATACGGTGTGGTTAACCTTATTAGGGTGAGCGTAAACCTGAACTGTCCAGTGACCCTCTCACCTGTTTTCACGGCGGCGTTGCTGCGGACGCGCTCCTGGAAGAGACGGCCCCGTGCAAGGCCGCAGAGGGGGTCGGAATCCAGGCTCTGGCGCACGCCGGCCATTGGGTTTGGGGGAGGAAAGGTTCACGGGCTGCCTCCGATGGACACCCTCCGCCGGACTGGATCAATTAACGCTGCTTTCTTTTGTCTCTTGCTTTTCTATCTCACTTTTTCACCGAAGAGTTCCTTCCTTTTTAAAAAAATTAAAGGGGGGGAAATACGCTTATACTAAATCCGTCTCCTCAGCTCTATTGATTTTCTTTTCAGACCTGGGTCTTGCTGGAGGAGGTCAG